GAACCAAAAATGGTTCTTCTATGGCATCGCTGTGAAGAACCTTTTAAGCACCTTTATTTTTAAGAGTGTAGGCCTAGGTGTCCAGAGGTGGTGGGCGACCTCTTCGCAAACATTCTGAGGAGTATTACCAGTGTATTTTTTTAATTGAAGTTCTTGTCATGCAGATGATATGCTATGTATTTGTGTCTCGTTGTCATGCACAGTGTATAAAAAAGGTACTTAATAAGTAAGAGCAATGACAACAGAAGAGAAAGAGCTCTCTAAAAACCTTTTTGTAATGAAACCGGACCCCTCGATACAAACATACAAAGAAACATATGAAAATGCTCATGTAGAAAAACATACGGTTTCAATGTCCATAATGTCAGTAATGTTTGGTCAAGTTGAATTAATACTTGTTTTTTCTTTTAAGGAATGAGTTGTCCGAGAAGTATGTGTACATAAGATAATATATCAACTCTTTTGACTGTTTGATCAGACATCAGTAACAAGTCTTTTGAGACGAAAGCCCTTTTTCCTTGGGGGCCCTTGAGGACCTGTGTTGGGAGACCCTGACCCTAATGAAACTTGTTGGGGAGCATACTCTTCAGCATTAAACAACCTGGTGCCTTACAGACTCCGCATGCTTATACACTGGCTGGTGCTTTGGATCTAAGTTTGGGTTCTTGTTGATTTTTTTTTTTTCCCCCTTTCTTTTTTTCGTCTGGTTTTGTTAAGCCCTGGCCCTCCTGTATGATATTGCATAACTCGTGGTTTGTTTGTTCGAGAAGCAAATCATTCTGATTACAACGAGTGACTCAGAAATCACCTAGGCATTTTCCCCACCTTGACGAAAATGTATCAAATGCAACATGCCTGACAAAAGGATGTTTAGTTTTTCTCAACAAACTCATTTGGTGTGAGGTAAACTTCTACTGAAGCCTCTCTGTTGGCAGTAATGTGTCACTGTCACCGACCAAAAGTTTAGTTGAGGGGTGTGGCCAGGATTTTTTCCCCCACTTTCCTCTAACTTTTCAGTGTTTCTTCATGTAATTTGTCAGTTTGGAAACTTTGCTTCACAAAGTTTTTTTTTTTTTTTTTGTCTTTTCCCAGTGCTATATTTCATTACTGTGTGCAATATTGAACGTGCCAATGTTGGCAATATATGTATATCCATTAAATATATGATTAATATTTGAAAAGCATGTGGCTGAATTCCACTTTTATTTCTTTAAAAGGTCTTTATTTCTTTAAAACCTTTATCTGCACTTAAAAAAAGGTCTGTATCTGGAAAAGAAACCAATCTTAATGAACAAGTTTCACCCAGGTGAAGCGAACACATAGCAGTTATCTATCCTGTCTGCACTTTTTGTGAATGTTCATGTTATAAACCCACCCCGTTTCGTCTCTGTTCCTCTTGACATGGGAGGGTTGGGGGTTACTGGAATGAAACGATGGGCGTGTGAAGGCCTTTGGGTAAGGGGCAATGAATATGTATCCTTAATTTCCCTACAAATACATAAATGGGATGATTCTAATGATGAAGGTGTGTGATGAACTCTTCTATCTTCGGTAGCACATTGCTTTCCCAGATGGAGAAAAATGTCTGACCAATGTTTGTTTGAAAATTATCTCAACAAGGAATGCCTTGTGCCGTTATTTTTTTTTTCTTTCTTTATCTCTTAACTTATGTTCCTTCCCTTTGCAAAGAGGTTCACTGAATTACACATTCGGCGGTTATGCGTCAAATATAATTTATGTACATTTTACAAATTAAAAAAATAATAAAAAGAAATATTAATTTCTCACGAAAAGAATGTTCAAAATCAATGTTTCTGTGTTTCTTTTTCTCGTTTGCAACAGTTCAGGTAGTGGTTGGTATTGTGGCTCTGACTTCAATGAAGTTTTCTCTGTGTACACACAGTTGATGTAGCACTTTCGAAGGAACAGAATTATGACCTGAAGCATGCAGACTAACCGATCTGTAATAACACACGTCATAATGTCATTTGATGCCGTCTCCTTTTCCTGTATGGGTACTGTTGATTGGTTCCAGTGGTTAACCAATGTAATAATGTGCACTAACAATACCACTACATTTTCTAAGGAATGTGTGATCGTATCTAAGTCTTTTATCATCTTATATTTTTCAGACCAGAACTGTTCAGATTATGAGGTCATACTACAGTATGATCGAAGGGGTCTTTCTCAGAATAACAACCATAATCATTTTTTTCTTATTGACACTGTTTGAGCTGCAGTTCAACGGTCATTCTGTTGAATGTATCATGAAAAATCATATACATTTGTGATTCTCGGGATTTCATTTAAACTGGACTCGTTCTCTTCATGTATCATATTTTGTAAAAAACCAAACTAAAAAAAAACTGATCTCTGTTTGGTATAACAGATTTCTGATGTTCTTGCTGCAAAACAAGCCAATGATTTAGTTTTATTTATGTTTCATTATTATTATTATTATTAAATAGCATGTATTTTGCTGCAGCAACGTCTTTTAAAACTTGAATTAATTTGACTTTAAACATGCCCCAGTGTAGTTTTGTTTTGAAATTACATGTAATAGAGCTGCTTATGGTCATGCTACATAGATTTAAGGGTATTAAATTATGATTTTTATGACAAGATTGAATTATGAACATATTTTCATTGTCATTGTGATGAAATGGAAATGGACATTTCCGTAAATGATAAACCTTATGTGAGAATAATCACTAATCATGACCGGTCTGGATGGGCAATTATAAATCAAATATAACAACAACAAAAAATACAACTTGCAAATGGCAAAATGCAATTATAGGGCATTTTATGATCAAGTAGATTGTTTTGGTCTGAGCCCAGCAGTAAATTAAGAAAAATACATGCTAATTAACTTTAAACATTTTAACCACATTATTTCATATTCTCAGGGCATTGTGACGATGCATAAAAAAATAAGCAAACAGATGAAGACTGGCTTTAAAAATTAATTACATAAAAATAATTGCTGTATTACAATTTACTACAAGAAAAGTAAAGAGAGATAGGCCAATATAATCACTTGGGACAAGTGCACATTTACAACAATTTTTATGACATTTTGACCAATAGGTGGTGCTTTCATCAACCGATGATGTACAATCAAGGCATGCCAGCAATGACCTAAAGCAACGCTGTATCCCAATTCACCTACTTAAACAATGCACTAAATGTATATGTATGAATAATAAATGATGGGTATAAAAAAAGAAATGTCAGGATGTTAACTGTAACAGGATGAGTGGCAGACCAGTTTATAGTGACAGGATACACTAAACAAATAAGTGTGGCATCAAGACAATTATATGACATGTCTTATTACTTGCACTTGCAAAAGTACTCTCTCTCTCTCTCTCTCTATGTAAGGATTCTAAGATTATTTGTTCTGAGAATAATAATATAAAATATAATACATTTATAATTAAGTGCAGTTTATTGCAGTTGACTGATTTACTGATTTGCTTAATTTTGAAATATGTTTCATTATGTTTTGACTTGCCATTTCAAAGATTACATTTAAACAATACTACACTTTTTAAAATTTCTGTGATCATTTAACCATTATCATGCAATATTTTATGAGAAACATCTGAGACACTGTTGAGACTAAAATGAGAAATACATGAGAATCACAACTAAGTCTCCTGAGGTTAGAAAGATCAACCACTGAGCAATAAATTTTTCCTATGGGAAATGACAACGCATGGCAGTCGCAGTCCTCTCTGGCGGAATGTAATAGTTTAGTGTGAGGAGCAGGGCATAATTTAAGTTGTTAAATGCTGCAAATACTATCCCGGGCACGTGTTTCTCATTCAAATAAACACGCATAACCGGAAACACGGCATGTCGCAATCTATGACAAAACCGGCGAGAGCCAATGAGCGTTTGATATCGCTGCTGTAAAACTTGTTGTAAAACTCCTTAACGGCTAATTTTTTAATTATTACTATAACTACAGAGGAAGGAGATATATATCGCTGAATGGTTTGAATTTGGATCTGTTCCTCACACAAAGCATCACACGTATACCAAAGATCTGAATAAAAATTAAATACTTTTATGATCATGTTATTTAATGCTTGTGCATGACAGCATATTAATAAATGTATGTGCCCCATGGTAAACCAAATAAATATTGCATGATTTCTCTCTCTCTCTCTCTCTCTTTGCAGTTTATTGCAGTTGACTGATTTACTGATTTGCTTAATTTTGAAATATGTTTCATTATGTTTTGACTTGCCATTTCAAAGATTACATTTAAACAATACTACACTTTCCTGATTTGGGCCACATAATCACTGGACTGATCTGGGCCACACTCCTCCCACCAGCAATCGGCCCTCATGTTTGCCGTGGTCCATGCTGTGCCATCATCGCCACACATGGCCCAACTCTGGCTGAAAGGGTACCAGCCATTGCCGACAGCAGGCCAGCAGTTCCAGTTTGAGGCCACATTTGGGCCAAGATCGCTTGCTATGTGGGAAGGACAACAATGCTCATGATGGAACATTGCTCTTAGGGCCAACCTATACATTGTCTTTACTTTTGAATAACTAAAAAAAAAAGACTCACTTTCTATGGTGAGAAGTTCGACATTTTCAGTTTACATTGTCTCATATCACAAATGCTATAAAGTCCTACTGCAGTCGATATATAGCTTGCAATATCTATGCTATTAAATAAATGTAGACAAATTTTGTAACTTGCATGCAATTATGGCATTATTTTTTTAATAAGTGTTATGGTGGACAGAGGATTAACCAACAGGCTGTGTAACACTGAAGGGCCAAATACGCACAACTGGTGCTTCTAAAGGAAAGGTCATGGATTTGTTAAAATACAAAAAGGGTGCTTATTGGTCATGTCAATATAACTGCACAAGTAGCATACAGACAGTCACCTCAAAATTCACTTGACTTAAACACAGTCGCTAATGTTTGGAGTCAAGATTAACATTTAGGTGGAAACCCGGTGGCGTGTCAGTATACTGGATCTGTGCATTGTGTTCTTAAAGTGACAGCAGTATAATTTAGCCTAACGTTACCTGCAGTTGGTCATAATTTTAATCAAACAACAAAATACTAAAGAGAAAATCACAAAATGTATTTAACTTACCTTTGTTCTATTGCATTAGTCCTATTGTTTGTAATTTGCTACTTTGATCTTATGTTTAATAAAATAACAAAAATAACTGTATTGGGATATACTGTTATTGTGAAATAAAATGTCCTATATTGTGAAATAATATGGTCATATCGCCCACCCATACTGTCAGTTAGTTTTAAGATCAAACTCAAAAAGTGAAGGAACTTTGAAATGAGTAATCTGAGAACACGGTCATGTAAACTCATTTGACAGAGAGGACCTGAAGGCATGATCCTTGGAATCCAGAAGAACTGTGGCAACGTCTCCAAGATGCTTCAAGAAACCTACCTGCGAAGCTACAGTGCTGTTAAAAGTTTTAGGCACTTGT